ATCTTCTTCTCAGACTGGCACGCGGTGTTGGCTAGTGAAGTGCATGAGCTGAAGGAAATACTCCTCGTACCGTGATCCTGTTCTCTGGGGCTTGACTATGACAGTAAATCTTCAGCTTTATTTACTGGAAACTTTTTTCCAGAGTGAGCAAGAGAAGCAGGACCAAACTGAGGTCCAGAAGGAGAAGCAGAGGGAGTTGATCCTGCAGCTCAAGACGCAGCTGGATGACCTGGAGACGTTTGCTTACCAAGAGGGCAACTATGATTCTCTGCCACAGTCTGTGGTTATGGAAAGACAACGGGTAAGGATTGAAAAGTCCTTCTGCCCATATTTCTTCTTAGAATTTGTGAGCCTCTTACGGACTGCAGGAGTTGGTCAGTCCTGATTTCTCATCAGCAGCTGTAATAGAGTATCAGTAGTTCATCTGTGTGTATAAACCTGTCCTGTGTCTCCTGCAGTTTTCTGTGTGCAGCAAAGGTGGCCTGTCTCTGAGGGAATGGACGGGTAAAGGAATATTTTGAACTCGAGTAATTTGAAGCTCGTGGGCAGCAGCACCACACAGTGAGATCATGCTACTAACTCGTGTTTTGCAGATGATTATAAATGAGTTGATAAGGAAGCTGGACATGGATTTGAGTGAAGATATTGCAACGCTCTCTCCAGAGGAATTGCGACAGCGTGTGGATGCTGCCATAGCACAGATTGTTAATCCAGCCAGGGTGAAAGAGCAGCTGGTGGAACAACTGAAGACACAGATAAGGGACCTTGAAATGTTCATCAACTTCATTCAGGGTCAGTGCTGAGTTTTAGATGAGCAGATTGAATTGAGGAGGGAGGTCACAGATGTCAGAGGATGCAGGAAGGGTTTCTGAGTCACAGGGAAGTAGAGATCTCTCTGAGCTGGTGGTGGGGACAAAAAAGATGCAAAGAGGTCTAAATAATATTGACCTTAATACTTGGGATATGCAGCTCAAATTCACAAGTGTGAAATAATAGCTTTAAATTTTTGTTCTAGATGAAGTTGGAAGCTCTGGTAAGGTGGAAGATGGACACTGTGACTGTGCAGGCAGAAAAGATGGTGGTGGCTCCTACAAACCAAATACACGGTCTTCTGGAAATAGAGGTGGGCACTGCTTGGCTCAGAGCTTCCTGCACTGCTCCTGCCATCACTCAATTGAGGTTCAGCAAGCATGAACCAGCATCCACTCACACTAGGCTGCTTTGCTTTTTTCCTGGCAGCTGATTTCTGCTCTTTCCTACACCATCTGACAGGGCCTGTGGACAGTTCCTTGACCCTCCCTCCATGGGATCATTAGAGCAGTCACAGAACCTGAACGTGTGGCACAGAGGTGGGATTGGTCCTGAGCACAGATCAGGAGTAGAAGGGACTTCTGATACTTAGTACAGAATGCAGACAGACTGAGCAGCCTTGTCACTGCACTGTAATTAATGCGTTCTTAACCTCTCTGAGCAGATACAGTGAGCTGCGTGGATCCAGTTTCTTTATAGCTTGAGACTTGTCTACTTATCACATGCATTTACTGGAGGTAGAATAGTAGAAGTACCTTTATCTTCTGTAATCTGAGGCATCTGCCACTAGTCTGAGAGAATACTGGCCCAGATGGACTTTGGGTCTTACACAGTGTGGCTGCTCTAGCAAATCAAATTAATACTGACACCAGGAGTCAGCAGGGTGTGTCAGCCTGCTGAGACAAGATGCTTCTTGAAAGTAAGCAGTGATCTCCTTCAGCAAAGGTTTTGGTATCTCCTAATAACCTAATCCTAATATTGTCAAGTCTGTAGAATGATCTGAGTGCCCACTGGGAAAGCTGTTGTAGGATTTCTTCTCTGTAAGATGACCTGATTGTCAAGAACAGGCCATGCAAATATTTGCTTTTCTGGTTGGCTTCAGTACTTTGAAACTAGAAAAAGTAGCATGAGCCCTAGTGACAAAAGCTCCCGAGGAGGAGGATGATCCATGGTGGAGGAGGAGACATTTGTGCTCCCTTTGTGTCCATGAAGGAGCAGAGCTGTTGATTCCTTAATGAGTATTTTTTTTCCTCTTTTCTAACCTGATCAGTGAACCCAGAAGATGCCAGAAAGATGCGAGAAACGGGCCTGCACCTCATGCGTCGCATGCTTGCTGTGCTACAGATATTTGCTGTCAGTCAGTTTGGTTGTGCTACTGGTCAGATACCTCGCACCCTCTGGCAGAAGGACCAAGCCAACAGGGACTATTCCCCCTTAATTAAGAAACTGGAGTGGTCAGTAGAGCGAGTGAGGCAGCTAGCCATGAAACACCAGCAGGAAGACCACGTTATCAGCTCCTCGGATCTGCAGGACGTTCCCTTGGGAGGCAGAGATGAGCTGACTCTAGCTGTGCGGAAGGAGCTGACCATTGCTCTGCGAGACCTGATGGCTCACGGGCTCTACGCCTCTTCTCAAGGAATGAGCCTGGTGTTGGCACCCATCGCGTGCTTGATTCCTGCGTTCACCTCCTCCCCGCAGACCATGCACCCCTGGGAGCTCTTCGTGGAGTATTACAACGCTAAGAATGGACAAGCCTTCGTGGAATCCCCGGCCCGCAAGCTCTCCCAGTCCTTTGCCTTGCCTGTGACAGGAGGAGTGGCCGTTACCCCCAAACAGAGCCTGCTGACAGCGATCCACACTGTCCTCACCGAGCACAACCCCTTCAAGCGCAGTGCAGACTCTGAACTGAAAGCTCTGGTGTGTATGGCCCTGAACGAGCAGCGCCTGGTCTCCTGGGTAAATCTGATCTGCAAATCTGGAGCTCTGGTACAGTCCCACTACCAGCCATGGAGCTACATGGCAAACACGGGCTTTGAGAGTGCACTCAACGTTCTCAGTCGCCTGAGCAACTTGAAATTCAACCTCCCAGTGGACCTGGCTGTCCGGCAGCTGAAAAACATCAAAGATGCTTTTTGATGTATTTTTATTGTAGATCATCCATTTTCCACGAGTAGGCAGCTGTTGGGCTCAAGAAGCCTGGCTTTTTTAAGACCCAAGTTTGACTCTGAAATTTGCTTTTAGGGAAACCTTACGGTGTCTTGCTGCTGGAAACCCTGTGTTTTACAAGGCTGCCTCTGCAAAGCTGCTGGAGGTTGTGTGCTGTACAGCACCTCGCTCTGCCCTTTCTGTGCTGCTCTGAAGAGCAACGCTGCTTGGCTGGTGAGCGGATGCCAGTGAGCGTTCAGCGTGTGAGGCTGGCTGCCCCACGTGTGGTGGAGGCCCTGGGCATAGAGCCTGCGGGTGGGGAAAGCCCCTGAGAACGTGCAGCTCATCTCCTGTGCTGTCCCTGTGGTTATTTCTCAAAGTCTGTGCTCTCAATGCTGCCCTCACCAGACACCTCTCACGGAAGGGGCAGGCAGGCTGGCGGGCGTTTGGCTGCCCCGGGGTTGCCCCGGGGCCAGTGAGTTGCCTTTGCCCGTGTGCACTGCGGTGCGGGGGCTGCACTCCTCCATACCGCGGTGATCTGGGGAAGCGCTGGGCGAGGGGCGGCGCCGCTGCCTCTGCCCGGGGATCCCGGAGCTCCGGTTTTGAAGCCTGTGCGCGGCGGTT